TTGTGCGAGTTGTAATTCAGAATCTAATTACATATGTCAAAGTATAGGTGTTATAAATTTTAAAATCAAAAGTATTTATCACAATGCATGTTTATATAAGCATGACACGTAAGCAAAATTATAACTCATGAGATCGCGACATGTATCTAATATTGATCAGATGATGAATGTGTTAAAACTTAAAATTAATTAAGAAAAATAAGAGTAGTAATATCCGGACCGACTCCCTTGCAAAGGGAGGTCAAAAAGGAGATTATATATTTTTCCATGTAAGTCAGATATTCCCGATTGGGGTGGTCCGTCAGAGAAACCATCCAATCGGTAACAACATGATTTAATATAATAGTGATTGTTGACAACAAAAAAAATTAAAAAAAATAAGATTTAAAATGGAAAGTAGTTGTCAAGTTACTAATCAATTAATAAAAAGTAAAATTTCTAATTCTATCCATACTAATTAAGAAACAAATAATATATATAGAATAAAAATGTCAATTAAAATAATTAAAAAGACGAATGATAAAAGAAAAGATATATAAATTGGAAAAACAAAAGTCTGAAAGGTTATAGAAACCTCAATTTAAAAGTTTAAAGATATACACAACAAGGGAAAAATAAAATAATAAAAAGAATCTATAAAAAATACTTATTTTATCAGAGTTATAGAATATCACAAAGAAAATGAAAATTTTCGACCTATGATGCCATTGGTACTCTCCAAGTGTATATATTGAAAATTATATAAGTTATAAAATAATAATATTCTATTTACTATGAAGTTAATACTGTATAAAGTTCGGCGAGAATAAAATTTTATGAGAAATAAAATGATGACACTAATAAAATACAATTATCAATTATATACTTATGTAATGTTTCACAATATTATTTGTAGTTTTTATGAGGTAAGTAACATAAATTTTATTTTTTCTGATTTAACTATATAGTATTTTAATTATTTTTATTTCTATCACAAAATTCGTAAATATTCATAATGAATTAAAAATATATATTTTTGTGTTATTAAGAATATAATTTAAATTCTGATTATATATTTTTTTTTATTTGCATGATATGGATTAAAATATGAGAATTATGATATAAACTGATTTCTACTGGTGTTAGGATCTACGTTAAATAGTATTTTAAAATTCAGCGGATTACT